CGTCTGTCCGTCCGTTGATCCGTCCGTTGGTCCGTCCGTCAACATTGGCCGCACAAATTAAAACTGCTATTCGGATTGAGTCGTACCCACATTCATTTTATGCATATCTATAATGCCTATTTGACCTATCATCGCCATTTCCCAAGTTCGCCCGGTTTCCGAGAAATTGCGGATTTTGGCGTCAAAAAGTCAAATTTTCTGTAAATACTAGACACTTTGTTGAAGTAGAACTTTCAAATAACTTTTAGTAGTTGCTGTATATGCAACTTATGTCCTCTGAAGATTTCAAAGCTCTTGGAATTACAGTTTTTGGTGTTTACTCTATAAAATTTGGCAAAAAGTAGGACTTAGTCATTTTCAGGAAACTTTCTCATGTATTAAGTCAATGGCAGGTTTTGTGATTGACAAGTTTCTCAAAGTTTGTTTAGATCATTTCTTGCAATGAATTACATCATTACTAGATTTAAGCATTCCCTACATATTGCTCAATATATGTCAGCATCAAATTTTTACAGTTTTTGAGATATTTGACGTCAAAAAACAGTAAAAATAAGTTATTTTTCAACTTGCTTCAATTTGACCAAATTTTTTTTTTAAAATCATCTACAAGTTGCCAGGAGCTCAGATCTGACATTAGTTTTAGGATTTGACCTTTACTTGACCTTCAGTGACCTTCGAAAGGTCAAAAAAGTTGATTTTTCAAATTGATTTTTGGATGTAAATTTTGGTCAGCTTAATCACAAAAGACCTTACTGAGCTCTGAATAAGTCAAATTTTCAAGGTCAAAGGTCATCAAACTAGGTCACACAACTGTGCTATCAAAGTTTATTTCTCAAAGTTCAAGACTACAAATCCAAATCAATATTTTTGTTTTAAAGTCAGGATATACATTCCTCTGAAGGTTCCAAACTGTGTGAGCACAGGACCGTGGGTCCTATTTTTTAAATAGTACCCCCTATTTTACCTATAAGAAGATAAGAAAGTTGGATTATGATATCTTATTGAACATATAAATGGAGGTAACAGACTTTCTGAACTTTCTGAACTGGTGTTTCCTAGTTTATAAGTACAGAAAAGTATGTTTCACACCAGTAGCTTTTCTCATACTTAAAATGTCAAACTAAGCAATGCGTATTTCTCTGGAAAAAAATTTGATTTTTTTATATTAAAATAAGACTGGTTGTTTTATTTGATTTTAAATAGAATATTTGTTATTGTTCATTCATGTAAGGGGCATGCTGTCTGCTGATTTGTCAATGTTTAAGCCATGTGCTCAGCAGCCATAAGTTAGCATATAAATTGAAAAAATTTGAAAAAGCTTTGATTTTTATATAATTTAGAGTATCAACTTTGTGTCTGCTCTCTTTATATCTTGTTAATATCACTCAGTTTTATTTATATTGCATTTTAAAAGATGATGATATTTTCTTGATGGGTTTCTGCTGAAATCCAGACACCGTACATCCTCACCTGGCAGTGTTCATCATAAGAGCCTGCCCATGTAAGCCAGAATCACATTCTTTAGAAGATAACATGTACAGGTGTCTATGAAAGGTTAATGTGCTGTAGGCCTTCCAGATGTTTTGAAATGAGATTCCAAGAAAGCAAGTCTTGGAAAGCAACTTACCTTGATGTGGGCAAACCAAACCTGGCATAATGTCTATATGTATTTTAATATATTGTCTGTGTAACCCCTTCCCATTTTCTTAAGCTGGAGAAATATAATATACAATGTGACAATTCTAATTTGCAAAGTCAAAAGACTTATCACTTGTCTGCTTAGTAGTATGGATGCTGGAAGAATAATCATCCAAAATAATAAATACCTGGATACACTTTGTAGCACATAGTTCAATAACATATTATAATGAATGATGGAGCTGATGATTACAAGCATGGACTACAAAGCACCTTACATGTCAACCAAATACTATGTCGAACCTTACAAGCAAGGATTGTGAGCTTCTAACAAGCAAGGATTGTGAGCTTTTTACAAGCAAGGCTTGTGAGCTTCTTACAAGCAAGGATTTTTAGCTTTTTACAAGCAAGGATTGTGAGCTTCTTACAAGCAAGGATTGTGAGCTTCTTACAAGCAAGGAATGTGAGCTTCTTACAAGCAAGGATTGTGAGCTTCTTACAAGCAAGGATTGTGAGCTTCTTACAAGCAAGGATTGTGAGCTTCTTACAAGCAAGGTTAATGAAGTACCTTGTAAGCAAGGGCTATTTAGTACATTGCAAGTACCAGCTACATAGCAACTTACAAGCAAGTATAGCAACTTACAAGCAAGGCCTAAGTAGCACCTTACAAGCAAAGCCTTTGTGGCATCTTACAAGCAATGGCTATATAACACCTTACAAGCATCACAATCAGATAACCCCAACTACCTCAGCTCTATGCAGATCTTATGTGATTTTGATTAATGTCCTACCATTGGAAAGGTTATCTTCATGGATGTGGTAATCGCAAAGGAATTTTGTGACAGAACAGTAAATGATTGGATGGCTAAACATAGAATCTCTTTAAGTGTCTTTCTGTGTAAACATTAGCTCTTGTATGCCTGATCTATTCATACAAATCTATTTGCTTTTCTTTGATTGCATTGAAGATCCACTGAATGTCTGGTCAGATGGAGTCAAGTAGCTGGAGAAAGGATGGGAGGAGGGGAACTCATGAAGAACTCATTAAAAGCTTTAGTTTGTAGTTGTGTCTTGTTATATTGAACATCTGTCAGTCTGTAGAGTAAAAGTCTGGCAGAAATCACAATATATGCTTCAACTGTTTGAAGTATTTGTGTCTTTAAGAATGAAGTCATCTTTACTTCTGTCTTTAAGCGAAGAGACAATCTGGTAAAGTCACAAAATATAAATATGTCAAAAAGTGTCATCTCATGTCTATGTATTATCACAAGGCTGTGTAGTAGACTGTATTCATCACTTATATTTGATGAGAATTGATGTTGTGATTAGATTACTTACCAAAATATATCAGTTTATATTTAGTGTTCCTTATTGCTGTCCAAAGTCAACATGTCCTCATTAGGCCTTAGTTGGTCTTGATTTATTTGTGGAGTATTGTTTTGGTATAGTTGATGAAGTGTGTTGTTATAGTGGTTGATAGAGTGTGTTCACATTCACTTAGGAGATGAGAGATTAATGAAGTGTTTGGTTGATTATGTCTGCCAGCTGACAGTGATCTCAGTGTCCTTGATGACCCAACTATACTTGATGGATAAGAGAACCTAGGCATGAATCCCATTTGCTGTCCCCTCAGTCCTATGGTGGCAGTTTTTGAAATATATAGGCCCACAAGGTGCATTGGTTGAGTAATGAGCAAGAATATTATATTGTATGGTAACCATTGTAGCCAAAAGTGTCATCAGTGTTATGTTTAAAAAAAGATAGGTTATGAAGTTCATCTTTATCTTGTGCAACAAATGTAACAGCTTTCTCAGGGTGATTCTTACACATATATATCTCATTCTGAATTTCATGAACAAAATGAATGAATCTGTCATCCAAGGCCAGGACCTATACGCCCTGTACATGGAAAGGTGAAGAAATGAGTCATTAAAATGTCCTGTCTGCTCACAATTTCTCTCTAACATTTGAACTACTTGATTGTCTGAGATTTCTATATAATTTGAAGTATCTACATCATGTCTGTTTACTTTATTTCTCCCTTATTTCATTCCTTTTTAGTATATTTTGTTTATTAAAACATGAGGGTGTGATATGTTATCCACAGGTTTGGTGCTGAAAGTTGACATGCTGTTGTTATGTTTTGGTTATCACTGTGTTCCCCTAGAGATCCTGGGGTGGTTCTACCAAAATGAATCAGACTAACATTACATTCTCCAAATGGAGTGCTTCTGCCCTCATCCAAAGGTTCCTTGCTTATTGATTAGGACTGGACCCCTGTGCTTGGAGGTGGCTTATTTGTAGATAGACAATCATATACCCCACCTGGCACAACTTTAAGAGAGGTGTTCATTGACATAGAGTTTTACTTGCCAGTGTCTGGGTTGAGGGTAATCTGGTACAAAACCTTACAATGGGGTGCCTCTCAAAAATGCTTATGATGCTACTCATTTTACAATGGGCCTTTATATCATTGACCATGTTTTCTTGTGTTGTCATAGAAAGTCATAGTAGCATGTTCATCTAATACTTTTAAATCATCTCAACTCTTGGATGAACCACTCCCCTAGCTAGGATAAAGGACAGGTTAAACCTACATATAGCAGCTAACCAGGCTGTACTTTAAATGAAACTGCTCGTGCTGAAGAAAACGTTATTTCCAAGATCATCTTAACTCTGTTAGGTAATACAACAAGGCAACTTGGGAATGTTATCTTTGGAATATTTAGATAGCCTTGCCTCACATGTTCAAGCTCAAGTTGATTTATCTATATACACGCTGAAGAATCATCGGAAGGTCAAAATACTCAAAGGAATTATATTCCCAATTAGTTCAACAATCATATCTTTGGTCCGCATGAGTTCATCTCAGATTGAATGTAATATCAAGATGTTTTGCGTCTGTATTACTGAAGGTACTTTATTATAGGGCCTACTTGATAAATGCTTTTTCAATCCAGCTGAAAGAAATCAAAGGAGAACCTAGAAATAATGAAACATCTAAGAATCAAGAGAGTTGTTAGGAACACTATAGCAATAAATTATAGCCACTCCAAATGACCAGATAACATGTAATGATTTTTACATTTTTAACATCTTCATTTTCAGCACTTTTTCCAGAAGTTAGGCAAACAGATTGAATCGCTATTTCTATAATATTCATCTCAAGTATTTCCAGTATCACTACCCAAAGCTACACTGAGTCTTGATAAACTCAAATTGAGCCAATGTTCCAATTCATTAAATGCATCTTTTATATATTTCCAGCAGCCTTATCCAAAGCCAGTTGCACATTGGATCTTAACAATCTCAAATGAAGCCAATGTTCCAATTCATTAAATGCATCTTTCATATATTTCCAGCAGCCTTATCCAAAGCCTGGCACTCCAGAACACATTGAATGGCCAAGGATCTCCAATGGGGGGTCCATCAGGGCTGGGAGTCCTTGTAGAGACAGCCCTACTGGCTCTAACAGAAACAGCTTAGCTAGCCTAGATAGTGGCAAGAGTGGGGGCTCACACTATGATAATGCAAGGGTAAGTAGAGATTTTTGAACCTTGGTTCAACTGAGAGGTACTTGGTGTCTGTCATGAGGTCCCTGCATCTGGGTTAGGAGAAAGATGGGGAAGGTGGCTAGAGAAAGATGGGGGAGATGCCCAATGACTTGCTGTAAGACTACCTGTTATCTTCTTATTTATTGGAGGAGTAAGCATCATTGCTTCAGTGGCCTTATGAATGTGGATAGGGGAATATTTATTCTCAAAGTTTCACTTGCTTCAACTTCATTTTAAATGTATTATAACCACCTTCAAAGTCAAATATGAGGTAGAAGATGTAGTTCAAGAGGCTTGATGCAATCTTTCATTGGTGAATGCTAAAAATAGTAAGCAGAGAATTCTTGAGATTCTGATGATCCTAATGAGTAAAACATAAATTTGTGGTTGCTAAGAGAGATTTAATTGATTTTAAACTGTTGCAATGTGACAGTTAACTGTTATTTATCACCGAGCCATTATTTACACTCACTTTTAAAGTTCTTTGCGAATTCTAGTCTGCTAAAAAGGAAGTAATGAACGTTTTGTTAGACCAAGTATCAATGTTATATAACAAAAAAAGGAAATTAACTCATTGGGCTTTTTATTATGTTCTCATAATGTCACATAAATCGATCAAGAGAATGGAGAAAATACAGATGATTAGAGAAATTAGTTTGATTTGTATACCAGAAATATGTCTTTATTTTTATGATGTGTTTTGTGAATTGATTGGGTCATAATGACCTTGCAGCGCAGTAGTTATGAACATTCAGTCATCCCTAGTATGGATTGCTATTCTGCCTGGTCAACTGTATAATGAAGATCTCCCACGCAATTATGTCACTAGGGCCATGTGTCATAATCGTATTAATAAAATAGATGGATGATCTAGGTTATAATGTACTTTACTGTCCAAAACAAAATATTGATGAAGTAATTTAATGCAGGATTAGACCCCCTCTTTAAAGCTTAAAGACATTGAAATGGCTTGTGTTTGTTATCAACACCATTCACATCGTTTAGCTTGATTGTTTTAACTACATTTTCAACAAATTACTTCAGCAGGAAAATGAAATGCTGATAACTAAACAAACCTCTTAAAAAATCAAACTGTTGAATGAGGAAAAATAGGTTGTCATGTCATGGTTCTTTTTGAGATTTAGATCTAAATAGGTTAATTAAAGGTGATACTATGAAGACATGATCAGATGACTCAACAAATGTGACAGTTTCCAATTAAGATGAAGCTATAAAACTGCTAAATGTCATTTAAGCAGACTTTCTGTCAGTCTGTGGATCTACATTTCTGAAGCATGTTGTGATCATGCACTTATTTACAGTGATCATTGGAAAGTTTTTCAGACATTTTAAGAATGCAACAAAACCCTTTAAACCATATCAACTGTAATACGCCTGTTATGTTCTATTGTTATCTTAATCAAAAGAACAAACCATAAAAATTCAGTCATTGAAATATCTATTTCTTTTATTGCAGCCTATGCACAATTTTGCCAATGTAATAGTGACCAATCAGCATCAACCAAATCCACATCGCCTCTCGGGCCAGAGTTATGATTCATCGGGCGTGTCATCACGTCAAAGTTACCATAGTGGCTCTAGTGGAAGTATCGGCAGTCTCGATAGACTAGAGGAATCTGGGTATTCCAGTCAAGTTAACGTCCACGATCTTTATCATTCAGGCATGTCGGTAAGTGGTGCATATTTGGATAATGCATATGAAACAATTTCGTTTATACTCGTTATTTCTATTAAACATGTCTACAAAATATAACTGCAAATGTTTCCTCATATTACAACTGAATATATTGTTTTTATATCAATTCTATTCTTTATTTAGAAATACAATCATAAATATAGAAATTGGGTATAGTAGATACACTGCTAAAATGATCAACTGGTCCATAGTATTGTTCCATGGACATTGTCCTACAAACCAGTGTTATTCTTCACATTATATAAATGTGAAAGTATGATGGCAGTGTTATTCTTCACATTATATAAATTTGAAAGTATGATGGCAGTGTTATTCTTCACATTAAATAAATGTGAAAGTATGATGGCAGTGTTATTCTTCACATTATATAAATGTGAAAGTATGATGGCAGTGTTATTCTTCACATTATATAAATGTATAAGTATAATGGCAGTGTTATTCTTCACATTATATAAATGTGAAAGTATGATGGCAGTGTTATTCTTCACATTATATAAATGTGAAAGTATGATGGCAGTGTTATTCTTCACATTATATAAATGTTAAAGTATGATGGCAGTGTTATTCTTCACATTATATAAATGTGAAAGTATGATGGCAGTGTTATTCTTCACATTATATAAATGTTAAAGTATGATGGCAGTGTTATTCTTCACATTATATAAATGTTAAAGTATGATGGCAGTGTTATTCTTCACATTATATAAATGTTAAAGTATGATGGCAGTGTTATTCTTCACATTATATAAATGTGAAAGTATGATGGCAGTGTTATTCTTCACATTATATAAATGTTAAAGTATGATGGCAGTGTTATTCTTCACATTATATAAATGTTAAAGTATGATGGCAGTGTTATTCTTCACATTATATAAATGTGAAAGTATGATGGCAGTGTTATTCTTCACATTATATAAATGTGAGAGTATGATGGCTCCAAAGATAATGGCCCCCATTCTTCACAATTCAAACATACGATGCATACGATCTTTGCTTCTATCATACCATTACATGTATATGTCTAATCTCAATGTAGACCTTACTACTGACATTAGATGTAGTTTATTCACAAGGTGGCAGTTAAAGATGCACCTTAACCTCATTATAAAATAATAACAAAACACCTTATACTTAATTGGTAGCTTTAGTTTAGTCTCATATAGTAAGACGCACCCTATATTGCTGATAAATGATCTGAAGTTAGCCTCATATGTTTGGCTCCATGTTTTATTACTTTATGCAAAACTGACCCTAATATAGATTGAGCACATCTAATCCACCTAATATGTGTGTGAATCAGTGTTTTGGTCTTTATACATTCTGACTCTCTAGTTACATGCATGTGGTGAGACAGATGAACCATTAGCATTTCACCTACACTATATACCCTAACTCTCTAGTTAATCCCGTCCCTTATAGCTTTACTCTATAGATAATCTTCTACCCTCATACTACTACCCTCCAGTATATCCTCTCTTCATGCTCTTAGCCTATAGCTAACCCAGTAGTTAGATGACTTGTTGCGTCAACAGCTGACATATTTCTTTTGAAGCAGGACACTGAGGTGCTGCATGCGTGGCTGTGTGACCTGCACTTCCAGGAGTACTACAATAACTTCCTACAGGCAGGCTATGACATGGGCACCATATCACGTATGACTCCTGAGGTAAGTACCATTAGATATCATAGAGCACTTGCCATAATGCTTCAGTCATATGTGAGGGGCTACCACCTTCGCGAGGCAACTTATTATGACAATATTGTAGTCACCTACAAGATTCACCATTTTAGATGTACATGTATGTGCCAACTATTGCATTATCGTTTCTTCATGAATTTGCTCTAACTAAAGGTCATTTGATTTTCCCACCCACACAGAGTCTTAAGATGATTGCAATGAAAAAATTATTTCGTGTTTGGAAAAAAATATTTCTTTCACCCAAACAGAACAAAAGTTATATCCCCAGATACGTCTTATTCGATTCAACATGATGAGGCCTTTCTTTTGCGTAAATCTAATTAGTTCTTTGACATGTTATCTCATACCATCAGTGACAGGAAGCTGTATATAACCTGATGCAATTCATCCTGATTCAATTTCAACATTAATCTGATTAAATTAACCCAATTTATGACATGAAGTGAATTCTTAATTCAATTGTCACTTTCTAATTATTATGCAAAAAACTGTCTGGTGACGTTTTTTTAGTTTTTGGAATAATTTGTGGTTATCAAATCAAAAATACAAGCGTGGGATAAACCAATTTCCCAATGTCCAAATTTTCTTGTGACTGCTGAAAACTGTGTGTTAAATGGTGACTGAAATAGAATAACAGCCTATTGGTTTCCATGTAAAATTGTCTGGAATTGAGACAACATTTGAAGTGTATTGTCTTAATTATGTGATTAATCCTCTATAGAATACTTATTTATCGAGATTAATAACTTTTTTATTTAAACCCGGACAAAGTGGTCAATTAGGTATAGGCTGATTAAGCTGATGACCAGGATGTTATCCATTTTACCATATTGCAAGCACCCTGAATCTGTCAGCCAGTTTCACAAGCCTCTGACTATTTTAGATGATTTTACAATTTTATTGCTTATAAGATTTAAAAGATCTCAGTGAAATTCAGCTATAGTTTATTCAATGTGATTTAAAATGTTCATTAATTTGAAAACATCACTTTGTTTAATTAAAACATGTTCTCTTATATTTCAGGACCTCACGGCTATAGGTATAACAAAACCAGGCCACAGAAAGCGCCTCAAAGCAGAGATCAGTAAACTTCATATTCACGATGGTATACCTGATTATAAACCAGTAAGTCTTGTTGGATTCTATACATATGCATGTGAACTTGTGAAAGAAAAAAAATGTACTTGGTTACTGTCATGATTGGGTTTTCTTGAGTTTCAATAAGATTTGTACTTTCTGGATTTTTTTCATAAAATCTCAAAAGGAGATTCAAGGATTCAAAGATTTCTATTAAGGTAAGTTTTGCATATTTGTTGAGATTTTTGTACCTGAATTCACAGTCATTAAAATAGCTGTTGGTCCATATTTGTAGATGACCAAGTGTACAAGGTGGTCCAGTTGATTGATGTAAAAAACATTCATTTTCAGTTTAATAAAACTTAACTGTCAAATGATAAGTGTCAATAAAAAGATTCAGCAGTGTTGGGTACATGTATTGTAAAAGGGAAATACCTCATGTATCATAATGTTTCAAAACTCTGTCAAATGATTTGACTTGAGTGAGCAATCTGAATCATTATATGCTCACATGTAAACTAAGCTACACATTAGGCCACCCTTTATGCCAAGATCATGATAGTAGAAAAAAACTAAAAGTTGCAAAAATGTGTGTCTTGATCCATTGAGGTATCTGAATTGAAGGAATCCACTTGTATAACAGTTTGAAGAATATTATATTGCATGATTATTTCTGCTCTTTCACAAAAAAGTAAAGAACATTTTAGGAAATGTCATTATGACATTTAAGCGAAAAGTTTTGAACTTTATGCATTCTACCATATTTACCATAATATGAAAATATTATCTTTTCCATCATTATGTTAATCATGCAGATCTATGTTAAAAATAGAAAAGACTGAGTAGCATATAAAAAGTGAGCGGAAGTGAATAGATAAACAAGCATCAATTACAAGTTTTCGAAGTGTATACATGCTTGGGTTAAGTTGTTCTCTTATAGTTTTCCCCTCTGACGTCAACATTCTATAGACGTAGCATAGCTTTACATAAGGGCACTCATTATAGATCAGTCTTACCTCATTCACTTCAACTCTTTGACCTTGGAGCTGTTTAATTGGCTTTACCATATGATGCCAAAGGGCCCCAAAGTGTCTTGTGTTTTGCAATACCATAATTGTTTTATGAAATAATCTTAAATTTCGCATAGTTTGTTGATCAGGAATCTTATGTTTAATCCAATTGAAACGATGACTCTTGCTAGTCATGGTTTAAAGATAAGATGAAAAGAAAAAGTGAGAATTAGAAAGGAGTTCAAAACAAATTGAAATTCATATATGACTTTATATGTACTGTCGATTCATTTCAGGTCAATTTGACTATTTATATTATATATTTCATGTCAATTTATTTTCAGGCTAATATATTTGACTGGCTAAGGTTTCTGGGTCTAACAGACTATTATGACACATTGTGTCGTCAAGGTTACGACAGTATAGATGGCGTTACTGACATCACTTGGGAGGACTTGGAAGAAATTGGAATTAAGAAATTAGGTAATGGAATTAGTTATTTAAAATTTTATTTATTTAAAATCTTAGAAATTTCTCCCTATTCTACTGCAATGCAGGACATTGAAATTTGTGAACACTTTTGTTTCAATAGTTAGTCTTCATTGACTCCATTTAGTAAATTTATCAATTCTTTCGACATCTTTTTAGCGCTATAACTTCTGAATCACATTTTTTGGGACCTGAGTAAACTTTCCTGAGGGAAGTCCTCATTGCAATTTCACCATGCTAAGGTATCCAAAGACTTCATGAATAGCACACTTTATGCTGTCAGCATTTCAATGGTGTAAATCAAATGAATAACGGAGTGTTAAAAGCAGGTGTGCAAAATGCGTCTCTATGATTTCACTTAAAAAATACTTCAACCTTGTTTAGTATTAGGCAGTAATGTCATCTTTTAAGACCTGTCAAATATTTTGTATGTTGTATAGAAGTTGATGTTTTTCTAGACAGGACCCTCTTTGTTAAAATCTAGATGCATTCAAAGTTAAACTAAAGTGAAACGTGACATTGCATCTATTAAATGCATGCATGCTATTTTTGTGCATGATTTCATAAGTCCCACTCTTTATTCAGTTATATACCATTCAACAACTTCTAGCAGGTTTACATTCACCTATGGGGATAGGCACATATTGGAGCAAATTATAGATGCAACATAGGGAATATGTTTAAAAGTATAACTTTCATCATCTAGATAGTTCTGTTAGAGTTTAATTGCATCACTTATTACGTTCATGAACTTCAGTTTTATGATGGTTTACAGTATTTAAGAGAGTGGGCTGCATTCCTGGACTATTTTTACCAGCTTTTGAATTACTTTGGATTTTAAATGTCAAAAGATGGATGTATCTTCAAAAACTCTTTTGTTTTCTATTCATGAAATGGAAAATAAAATGTTAGGGGAAATACAAGTGAAGGAGGTCACATCAGTGAATCACAAAATCAATTCCAATAATCTTTTTCATTTTAGTGTTTGACATCCAATATACTCTTTACAACAGTGGCAGACATCTATTAATAGCCTTATGTTTTTTTTTTATCTTATTGTTCAATTTCATTGCAATTATTGTGACTCTTTTCAGGGCACCAGAAGAAGATGATGTTAGCAATAGACAGACTGAAGAGAATAGACAGTAATTCTAAACGTCTGTCTACACATTCTAGTGTCTCCTCTCACTCTGATCATAGGGGGTCCATGGACCTCTTAGAAACATCATCAATGAGCTCTCAGGGGTCTCAATCGCGCTGGTCAGGTGACATGAAGGATTCGGCATATGGCAGTCAAGTTGTGGATATAATGCCGTCACGTCCTGGGAAGTCTAGTTCAGGTGAAAGTTTAAGCACAGCTGGTAGTGGACCTGAATTAAAAACATTTCAGCAACCGGCTAATCAGGAAATTGTCCATATAAGGAATAATAGTAGTCATGGGTTGACATATCAACCAGATGTAGTTGCGATTAACAGGGGTGTCCCGAGAAGTGGCACTAATGACACTCTAGGTAGTGATGGCGATAGTGGGAGCTCAAGCTCAGGGTCAGGACATTACCAGTCATCATTCTATGGCCCTAGTGGTAGGAAGACCCCTGAGATGGTGCTAGATGGGGATGCCACCCCTGTGCTAGAACGTCGTAATTATGATGATGCTGATGGTGGCGGCACATTACGTCGTACAACTGCAGTGGTAAACCCTCAGATGGCTAAGCCAATCAAACCTGTGGCCAAAATAGTGGCAAAGTCAAAACGTGGTAATACTACTCCGGAAATATTAAAAATGGATTGTAATGGAGATGGACCATTTAAGAAACAGGAAATCATATATGACCAGCCAGCTGAATATGTGAAGGGTTCCCCCACTGGGGGGTCCCCTAGAAATAGTACAGTGCCAGGGTCACCTCGTCATGGCTCCCCCAGGAATAGTGCTCAGAACTCCCCCAGGACAAGCCTGATGCACCCCCCAGGATCCCCCCGCCATGCCCCTAACATGGCTGCAGGTATAGCGCAAGCTGCCGCAGCCAGGGCAAAGAAAGCACCTCCCCCTCCCCCAAAGAGAACAAACTCTATAAAAAGTGACATTGGAGTTAAAGTGGATGTAAAAACAGACAATGATGTATCACCCAAACATTCTCCTAAAGCTGACCTGGGCAAGGCAGCCCTTCCTCCTAAACCCCCTGCTCATGTTGTACAACAACAGCTACAACAACAATTACAACAAAGACAACAAAATATTCAATTAGAAAATGCCAGTAATAATAGTGTTAAAAATCTAACAGACAAGTTTAATAAAACACCCCCTAAGGGTCTTGTTGATCCAAACTCTGAAGTTGATGATTTCCCCCCTCCTCCACCTCCAATTGCAGTACATGATAATGTGAATAAATCTGACCCTTCAGGAATAACCAGGGTGGCTAAAACTTTGGATGATAACATCGCAGAATTAGAATCTTTAGAAACACAGTTAAAGCAGCAATCTATGGACCTTGATAAACCAGTAAAACAAGATAAACCACACAATATTGATCAAGATAGACTACGCTCTGAATCCAGTAGTCCACGAAGCGGATCCGCAAGTCCTAATCTCACGAGGGACGGGGTAAATAGTGGTTCTGCTAGTCCCAATCTCCGTAGGGATGGGGTAAATGCATCCAATCTGAGCATAGATTCCAATACGTTACCATTTGCCAATGAAAATGTTGGGACAATAAAATCGCGAGATAAACAAAATAAACCCTCCATAGTGAGTAGCAATGGGGAGGGTGAGGAGACCCAGCTCAATCAGAGCATGTTTGAAGAGACAGGTACAATGAAACGTAAACCAGTTAATAAAAATATAGTCCATAATATCCAAGACAATGGCTATGATGATAGTACAATAAAACGGAGACCGAATGGCAGTGCAGGACAACATCAATCCCATAATGCAATGGATACATATGCAGACGATACAGGCACTATCAGAAGGCAACCAAAGCCTGCACAACCTGCCGTTACACAACATTTCGAAGATACGGGAACTGTAAAAAGACGACCTCCTAGTCATAACCATATCCAAGCTGAACCTCAGGGAAATAGGAAAGGTGAGTTTAGATTTTTCCGAAAATGTGCTAATATTATCCATTCAGAACTTAAAATGTGCAAACTGTTTGCAGTCTTCAAAAGGAATCAATTTATTTACAGAGGTTCTAGAAACTATTGTTTAATGCGAGCTAATTGTATAATTATCTCTATCACACAGAACTTAACTAGATTGAGGTGATATAATTTTCATTATAAACCAGGTTTCTTTTTGTATACTTGAAATATTTGAAAACATTGTCCCTGATTTCTTACAACTCAAATTGTCTGTTTCAGTTCCACCCCCCAAGCCAGTCAGGAGAGAGAGCTCAAATCCTGGGGGAGAGGAGGACATGTGAGTTACACTGAATTTATACCCTTTGTAGGAGCAAAATGTCATTTAAACTCTTTGATTAAGTGATGATTCTTTGATTCAACTATGTTCAATCAGAATACAAAGTGAGAACATCACAACACTATTTATTCCCCTGTACAAAAGTGCAGAAAGTATGATGTAGCTGATTTATGGAGAATAATGTTATATTATTTCTGCAGGAAAGATTCATGAAAAGATGTATAATTTAAGTTGGCAAAGTTGGTCTGACCTAACCCCTTTATAGTATGAATCACCTGTGTTTATAAAGATCTCCTCATAGTTTGGTAATGGAAAATAAAGCTATAGCAAGAATATTGTTGTGTATTACAGGAAGACCAGGGCTGCCACAGGTGAATCTGGAGATGTGCTTAATGACATTGGAAACATGTTACAAGGACTCACTGACGAACTAGATGCCATGTTGGAACTGGAATTTGATGAATAAATCTGCAAGATAATGATCAATCCCTCCTATAGACAGTACTACAATGGTTTATCCCTATTAAACTGCAACACAATGATCAATCCCTCCCATAGACAGTACTACAATGGTTTATCCCTATTAAACTGCAACACAATGATCAATCCCTCCCATAGACAGTACTACAATGGTTTATCCCTATTAAACTGCAACACAATGATCAATCCCTCCCATAGACAGTACTACAATGGTTTATCCCTATTAAACAGCAAACCAATGATCGATTTCTACTATAGGCAACAGCATAATGATTGGTCCCCTTTGTTGATAAAAGGATACTGTTTATTCCCTCGGTGTACTCCATGCAAAACAATATATTTATTTCATCAAGGAGTTGTTACCTTGTTGATCTTTAGCTGTAATTCACAAAGCTAAAATGTTCCTTTTAAGATTAAAATGTTCAAGAAATGTTATTCTTAAGATTATAATTGAAGACACTGATGTGCTTTAAATATACCTGGCCATGCACCCATGTTTACATTTATTATTTCGTATCTCCATATGTTATAGTATACATACTAATTCTTTATATAGATAATTTCGTCAAAATGGTGCATTCTCTTATTCTATTGGTCAGTCTCCATAATTAAAGGGGGCAGATTGCAGATTAAGATTTTTGTTGTACTGATATAATATTTCTGCAATTCCTTGTAAGCCTTTGTTCACCAGAGCCTTGGCCACATTACATGTATTTTCATATATACCATTGCTTTGAATTCTATATTGTATACATTGTGTATAACAGATCATTACCTCGTTTACCACCTTTTCTATGTGTTCATTCACAAATGTACAAACCACTGACTTTCAAACGGAATACATTTGTTGAAATTTGTATCTGAAAATATTTGAAAACTGTTGGTCTTACACTTATCAAAATATCAAAACACGTACTATTATAGATGGCATTGCAAAATGTGCAATTCCTGATTATTTTATTTAAAAAGTCGGGGTGTTTTATTTTTACTTTTGTTGAAATATAGATGGCATTATATCTTACTGCAGTGAAATGAGAACTGACAAAAAACAAATTATTTAATTTATTTTTTGGAGAAATAAAAGTATTTAAATGATACAGATTTCTGCGATGTGCTTCATATATCAGATGAAGGTTTTGCATCGAGGCTTATTTCAACCAACTCCCCACATCTTTTTCGAACACTTTCAGCGGAGACTTGATGTAAGAATTCACAGTTTTGATTGATTGTGATAGAAACATCAATTTTAATTTTATGAAATTCATGAATTGTATAAGATGAACACTTAATGTGAGTTCTTTGATGATATAACTTAGAATAGTGGGTGGGGGAGGGGGAGTGTTAAGTTTACAAATCATGCATTAAAAATTGTTGCTCCCTTTTATTTACATACCTCTTGCTTTTAAACAAGTGAGATATTTCCTGACCACACGTTTCTAGGTTATTATTTACTTAATATATTGTGAACATGTATATGATACACACATGTAGAACATGCTCATTTATGTACATTTTCTGGTCAAGTACATGTCCAATGTCTATTTGTACATGACTTCATGATTAAATACTAATTGCATAAATTGTTCATTTATGTCCATATATTGCTGATTTATGTACATTAATTGTTGATTTATGTACAGCATTTGGCACAACTGTCATGGCTTTATATTTTATAGAAACTGACACCTAGTTTATTTATGCACTGACAGAGCTGGATTTTATGTATAATATAATTATTCATTTATTTATGTTTCATTCATACAGCTAGCTGGGAACTAGCCATAGAGAAGAGTAGTCATGTGTACATTTTTGAAAACATCTTTGGATCATTCTGAAAATGAAAGGTGCCATGAATTTTGTTGATATTCATGCTAAAACGCCGGAAGTCTTTGAAGAGAATTATTCTAGAGTTGATATTTCTAATCATTTGCTTAGAGTAATTAATTTATGACATTTCTAAGATATTTGGACTATTCTATATGTATATAGGCTATAAATATGACAGCAAAGTGTGTATGATTATATTATTCTATAATTTAAACATCACCTTAAAGGTGTACATTTTATTTGTGAAATACAATTTTGTTTAATTGTATTATAAAGCATTGTAATATAAACATCACGTTCAAAAGAAAACTACTTTGTTTGTCTTATTTGTTTGGTTATTCTGGAGGTCATTGATGTGCAGGTTTTCTGCTTACATTTCAATCATTTTACCATCAATAACTTGATAATATCAAGCATGAAACTTATATAAAAGGTACAGTACAAAATTAGACAAATTATCCAAGTGCAATGTTCAACCTTTTATTGTAGTAAAGCAATGTATTAAAGGCTGATTTGCCTACACATGTAATTGTACACGGCAGATAAATTTGGATTTACTAGAACAATTGCCAAAGATTCTGTAACTCAAGACATGGCGACCGTAACACTAAAATATGCATCTAATAGAAAAAACAAGACATAAAGAATCCAAGCAAGCGTAATGCTCTCATTTTAGTGATATATTGTGAAGAATAAGGTGACTGGTCATAGAATCTTAAGTTTATGCAAGTAAAAAACAATTATCAACATCTCACTTAATAACAAATCTGACAAATCAACCAAACATTCCTCGGAACAAGTGCAATGGCTTTAATTGTTCATCTGAAATATCAGTCTTCTGTTAGTTCTTGTCAAGTTCCAAACAGAAAGATATGGTGAGAAGCAAAAAGCTGATAATGTTAAAAGAATATTGCTCAGATGAAGATGTTGAACATATAAATTTTTATCAGGAATGGCAAACAAGTACAAAGGACGCCACTAATTATCTTATAATGGCAAACAATTACAAAGGATGCAACTAATTATATTATAATGACAAACAAGTACAAAGGACGCCACTAATTATATTATAATGACAAAGCAAGTACAAAGGACACCATTAATTATCATATAATGGCAAACAATTACAAAGGATGCCACTAATTATATTATAATGACAAAGCAAGTACAAAGGATGCCACTAATTATATTAGAATGGCAAACAAGAACAAAGGACACCATTAATTATCCTATAATGGCAAACAATTACAAGGATGCAACTAATTATATTATAATGACAAAGCAAGTACAAAGGACGCCACTAATTATATTATAATGGCAAACAATTACAAAGGATGCCACTAATTATAGTATAATGACAAAGCAAGTACAAAGGACGCCACTAATTATATTATAATGACAAACAAGTACAAAGGACGCCACTAATTATATTATAATGGCAAACAATTACAAAGGACCTCACTAATTATATTATAATGACAAAGCATGTATAAAGGACGCCACTAATTATATAATAATGGCAAACAAGTACAAAGGACGCCACTAATTATCCTATAATGGCAAACAATTACAAGGATGCAACTAATTATATTATAATGACAAACAAGTACAAAGGATGCCACTAATTATCCTATAATGGCAAACAATTACAAGGATGCAACTAATTATATTATAATGAGAAACAAGTACAAAGGACGCCACTAATTATATTATAATGACAAAGCAAGTACAAAGGACGCCACTAATTATATTATAATGACAAACAAGTACAAAGGACGCCACTAATTATATTATAATGGCAAACAATTACAAAGGACGCCACTAATTATATTATAATGACAAAGCAAGTACAAAGGACGCCACTAATTATATTATAATGGCAAACAAGTACAAAGGACACCACTAATTATCCTATAATGGCAAACAATTACAAGGATGCAACTAATTATATTATAATGACAAACAATTACAAAGGACGCCACTAATTATATTATAATGACAAAGCAAATATAAAGGACGCCACTAATTATATAATAATGGCAAACAAGTACAAAGGACGCCACTAGGCTAATTATCCTATAATGGCAAACAATTACAAGGATGCAACTAATTATATTATAATGACAAACAAGTACAAAGGACGCCACTAATTATCCTATAATGGCAAACAATTACAAGGATGCCACTAATTATATTATAATGACAAACAAGTACAAAGGACGCCACTAATTATATTATTATGACAAAACAAGTACAAAGGACGCCACTAATTATATTATAATGGCAAACAATTACTAAGGACGCCACTAATTATATTATGACAAAGCAAGCACAAAGGACGCCACTAATTATATTATAATGACAAAGCAAGTACAAAGGACGCCACTAATTATATTATAATGACAAACAAGTACAAAGGACGCCACTAATTATATTATAATGACAAACAAGTACAAAGGACGCCACTAATTATATTATAATGGCAAACAATTACTAAGGACGCCACTAATTATATTATAATGACAAAACAAGTACAAAGGACGCCACTAATTATATTATAATGGCAAACAATTACTAAGGACGCCACTAATTATATTATGACAAAGCAAGCACAAAGGACGCCACTAATTATATTATAATGACAAACAAGTACAAAGGACGCCACTAATTATATTATAATGGCAAACAAGTACAAAGGACGCCACTAATTATCCTATAATGGCAAACAATTACAAGGATGCAACTAATTATATTATAATGACAAACAAGTACAAAGGACGCCACTAATTATATCATAATGGCAAATAATTACAAAGGACGCCACTAATTATATTATAATGACAAAGCAAGTACAAAGGACGCCACTAATTATATTATAATGGCAAACAATTACAAAGGACGCCACTAATTATATTATAATGACAAAGCAAGTACAAAGGACGCCACTAATTATATTATAATGGCAAACAAGTACAAAGGACGCCACTAATTATCCTATAATGGCAAGCAATTACAAGGATGCAACTTATTATATTATAATGACAAACAAGTACAAATGACGCCACTAATTATAATGGCAAACAAGTACAAAGGACGCCACTAATTCAGTGAATGTTGTTATTTGTTCTTTTTCTAAAGCAGAGACTTTACTTTACTGAAAGGACGATTCTCGGTTTGGAGAACGAAGTTCATCAATCTAAATGAGCATTATCCCTGCTTCGGACAAATTTGATTTTTTTACATAATATAGATT